AAGCCAAATGGACCTAAATGACATATACAGAACACTCCACCCAACAACAGTAGGTTATAAATTCTTCTCAAGTACACATGAAATATTCTCCAGGGGAGACCACATGTTAGGCTACAAAACAAGTTTTAACCAATTGAATACAGAAATCAGACAAAGTATGCTGACTGATCACAATGGAATGAAACCAGAATCAATAGCAGAAGGAAAAAGTGGGAAATCCACAAACGTGGAAATTAGCAGTACACTCTTAAATAACCAATGGGTCAAAGAACAAGTCAAAAAGGAATTTAGAAATTATCTTGAGACAAATGAAAATAAGACACACCAAAAGTTATGATATGAAGCAAAAGCAGTGCTAACAGGAAGATTTATAGCTTTAAAGATTTATAGACATGAGCTAGTGAGAAAATGAAAGAAGTGGAGATACATGACAAAGAACAGAAATGCAATAGGAAGAAATAAGTGACAAAACAACTTTTTGAAAAGATCCACAAAATTGATAAACTCTTAGCTAGATTAACTAGAAAAGAAAGAGAGAAGACTCAAATAACTAAAATCAGAAAGTAGGGACATTACTACTGATGCCACAGAAATAAAAAAAGATTATAAGACTACCCTGACCAGGGGCGTCTGGGTGGCTCAGTCAGTTAAGCCTCTGCCTTTGGCTCAGGTCATGATCCCAGGGTCCTGAGATCGAGGCCCATGTTGGGCTCCCTGCTCAGCAGGGAGCTTGCTTCTCCCTTTCCCTCTGCCTGCTGCTCTGCCTGCTTGTGTATGTTCTCTCTCTGTCACATAAATAAATAAAATCTTAAAAAAAAAAAAAAAAGAATACTCTGCACAATTATATACAAACAAATCAAATAACCTAGAAGAAATGGACAAATTCCTAGACACATAAAACCTACCAGACTGAATCATGAAGAAACAGACAATCTGAACAGACCAATAACTAGTCAGGAGGTTAAATCAGTATTCCAAAACCTACCACCACCAACAAAAAACCCCAGAACTAACTGGCTTCATGGGAGAATTCTACCAAACATTTAAAGAATTAACAGCAATCCTCCTCAAACACTTCCAAAAGCTAAAGTGGAGGGAACACTTCCAAGCTCATTCTATAAGGTCAGTATTACTATGATACCAAAGTCAAACAATGACACTACATAACACTTATCATGATGAGCACTGAGTAATATATAGAATTGTTGAATCACTATATTGTACATCTGAAACTAATATAACACTCTATGTTAACTGGACTGGAATTAAAATTTTAAAAAACTTAATAAAAATAAAACAAACAAAAAAACCAGTGATACTACAAGAGAAGAACAACACTTTGAGAAAACTACAGAAAAATATTACGAATATTAATACAAAGATCCTCCAGGGGCACTGAGTGGCTCAGAAAGATATGCAGCTGACTCTTGATTTCAGCTCAGATCATGATCTCGGGGGTCATGGTACTAAGCCCCAGGTTGGACTCCATGTTCTGTGGGGAGTCTGCTTCTCTCCCTCTCTCTCTCTGCCCCTCCCCCAGCTCATGCATGTGTGCGCGCTCTCTCTCTAATAAATTAACTAAAAATTCTTTTTAAAAAAATCTTCCAAATACTAGCACACCGAATTTAATAGCACGTTAAAAGAATTATACACCATGACCAAGGGGTATTTATTCACAGGATGTAAGGATGGTTCAACTCCACAAATCAATCAATGTGATACACTACAGTAACAGAAAGAAGGGACAAAAGCACATGCTAATCTCAATTAATGCAGAAAAAGCATTTGTTAAGACTCAATACCTTTTCACAATAAAAATATTCAAAAAACTAGGAATAGAAAGAATATACCTCATCAGGAAGGCCATATACGAAAAACGCACCACTAACAACATACTCAATGGTGAAAGACTGAAAGCTTTTCCTATAATATCAGAAGCAAGGCAAGGATGCCCACTCTCACTACTCATACTCACATATTGGAAATCCTAGCCAGAGCAATTAGGCAAGGAAAAGAAATAAAGTGGAAAAGAAGTCAAATTATCTCTAGATGCAGATGACATGATCTCATATGCAGAAAACCCTACAGACTACAAAAAAAAATTGTTAGAATGAACAAATTCAGTGAAGTTGCAGGATACAAAATCAACACACAAAAATCAGTTCTGTCTATACACTAGTAATGAACAATCCAAGAGGAAAATGAAGAAAACAATCCATCTACAATAGCATCAAAAAGAATAAAATACTTAGTAATAAACCTAACCACCAAGAATGTGAAAGACTTCTACACTGAAAACTGCAAAAAGGTTGTTGAAAATAATGAAAGAAGCAACAAATAAATGGAAAGACACCCCATGTTCATAAAATTTAATATGGTTAAGATCCCCAAACTACTGATTCAATACAAACCCTCTCCAAATTCCCATAGCATTATTTGCATAAACAAAAATTTCATCCTAAAATTCATATGGAATCTCAAAGGAATTCAAATAGTGAAAACAACATTGAAAAAGAACAAAGCTGAAGGACTCATACCTTCTCATTTCAAAACAAACTGTGATCAAAATGATATGATACTGTCATAAATACAGACACACAGTCCAATGGAATAGAGAGCCCAGAAATAAACCCTTTCATATATGATCAAGTGAATACTGGCAAGCGTGCCAAGACCACTTAATGGGAAAAAGAGAATCTCTTCAACAAATGATGCTGGGAAAAACTGGATATCCACATGCAAAAGAAGGAAGTTAGACTGGTATCTTACATCATAAACAAAAATAAATTTAGACAGACTAAAGACCTAAACATAAGACACAAACCATAAAACTCAGAGAAGAAAATATAGGGGAAAAGCTCATGACATTGGATTTGACAATGATTTCTTGCATATGACACCAAAAACACAAAGCAAAAATATATAAATGGGACAATGTCAAACTTAAACATTTTAAAGGGAACCTATGAAACAGGAAAAAATATCTGCAATCATGTCTCTGATAAGAGGTTAGTATTCAGAATATATACAGAATTCCTACAACCCAACAACAAAAAATTAAAATCCCCAATTAAAAAATGGGCAAAGAAATAGACATTTCTCCAAAGATGATATACAAATGGCCAAAAATCGGGGTGCCTGGGTGGCTCAGTGGGTTAAAGCCTCTGCCTTCGGCTCAGGTCATGATCTCGGAGTCCTGGGATGGAGCCCCACATCTGGCTCTCTGCTCAGCAGGGAGCCTGCTTCCTCCTCTCTCTCTGCCTGCCTCTCTGCCTACTTGTAATCTCTGTCAAATAAATAAATAAAATCTTAAAAAAAAAAATTTACAAATGGCCAAAAAGCGTATGAAAAGACATTCAACATCAAAAGTCATCATCAGAGAAATGCAAATTAAACCCGCAATAAGACAGCATCTCACACCCACTAGGATGGCTGCTATCAAAAAAACCCAGAAAATTTAACAGGTGTTGGTAAGGCTGTAGAGAAATGGAACACTTGTGCACGGTTGGTTGAACACTGGTGTGGCCACTACAGAAAACACTATGGAAGTTCCTCAAAAAACTACCACATGGGGGCTGAGTCAGTTAAGTGTCCTACTCTTGATCTGAGCTCAGGTCTTGATCTCAGGGTGGTGAGCTTCAGCTCTGTGTTTAAAAAAAAAACAAAAACACTACCATATGCTCCAGCAACACTACCTCTGGATATATAACCAAAATAACTGAAAGCAAGGTCTTGAAGAAGTATTTGCAAAACCATGTGTATAACAGCACTATTCCCAAGTCAAGAGATGAAAGCCACCCAAATGTCCATTGATGGAAATATTAAGGAAAATGTGGTGTGTACGTACAGTGGAATATTATTCAGCCTTAAAAAGGAAGGTAATTTTTTTTTAAAGGACTTTATGTTTAAGTAATCTCTACAGCCAACCTGGGGCTGTAGATCAACCTGAGATCAAGGGTCCCACACTCTACTGAGCCAGCCAGACACACCAAAAAAAAAAAAAAAAAGTAATTCTGACACAGGCTACAACGCAGATGAAACCTGAGGACATTGTCCTAAGGCGACATAAGCCAGAGAGGAAATTCATAGGAACCAGAAGTAGAATGGTGGTAACAAGAGGCTGAGAAGGGGGGAAAAGGGGAGTTGTCCTATGGGTATAGAGTGGCAGAATCCCAACATTAAAAAGTTCTAGAGATCTGTTTCATCAGTGAACTGTACACTTAAAAATGGCTAAAATGGTGAATTTTTTGTTATTTTTTTTACCACAATAAAAAAAATCCCTAATATCCCTCATAAACACAGACACAAAAGTCCTTAACAAAATATAAGCAAACGGAGGCCAACAACTTATAGAAAGGATTTTAACAAGGGAAAGTGTGGCGTTTTGACAGCTGCCAAGTGCCATGCCCCTCTGCCAGGGTGTCCCCCACCAGCAGCCCTCAAGGACAAGCCAGGGAATGCTGCCCTGGGCTGCAGCGCTGGAATGGACAGCCACTCCGCCAGCCACCGGAACGCACCACCACCTGCCACAGCCCCCACTAAGAGCAAGCCCAGGGCTGCGCGCTTCCAGAACCCCCTCCAAAGGCTCAGCTCATGTGATAGGCTCTGGCAGAGAAAAGGGGACCTAGGCTGTGACCCCTAGAGCACAGACGCAGGCTGAGAAGGTGAGGTTCTTTCTGAGTGTTTCTAAGGAACCACAGGGGCGCTGCAGGGAGCTCTGTGCTCCTTTGGAGGTTTCACACACCATTCTGGAACACAGCTCTCTGTGCAAAAAACAAGTGGCATGGATTCTCTAGGCTTCAAGTCCTTCAGCTGGAAAATTCGGTGATTGGTTCCTGCTGGCTCTGGTCGGCAGACAATTCTGAAATACACATTCCAGACCCTCAAAAGGGCTGAGTCTCCCCTTCTTCTTTCTCCATCCAGAATACTCAACCCATGCCCCTGGGGCACTGGTCCTATCTCTACTGTGAATGCATTCCATTCATCCATTTCTAACATACCTGGCGGGGAAGCTTATTTAGTGACCTCAGATAATCTTTGTCCAGAATACAATTTCCAAGTGCATTCCCGAAACTTCTAAGGATAAGGAAAAAAAAAAAAAAAAGAATGGAACAGGTTGAGAATGATTATGTGTCAATATCAGAGAACACAGTTAACAGTTACAACATTTGTGGCAAAGTGCTTCTCCACTGCGGCAGAGGAGATGGACCCCAATATACATGCAGAAACACTTCTTGGGCACCTGCCACTTTCACGCACTGTATGAGGCTCTCAGTACAGCATGGGGCACAGCAGTCACCAGTCTCTGCCCTCAACAAGAGGCAGGGAGGTCCAAAAGACTAAGAAACCATTCGCAAAACCCCATGAGCCATCCTGCCATTCTTTTTTCAAGGATGGTTCCAATTCCCCAGTAATAGTGGACAACTCACTTAGGGCACGCCGTCCTCCATGCCTGAAGTTCTTTACTTGGGACATCTGGCCTCCCGCACAGGTTAGAGCACCTCAAGTTTTTAATGTAGTTTCATTACATGTGTGATTTAATTCACGTCAATTCTCAAAGGCCATGTATGACCCCCCCAAAAAAAGTAAAAAAAAAAAAAAAAAAAAAAACCCTGTTCTATTCACCTTAGTTGTCATACCCAAGGAAACACTGTTTAGGTGTCTTAAAGAGAATGGGGAAGCGATCTCTGTCCTCGTGTGGAAAGGTTTCCAAGACACACAACTGAGATGGGGGTGAGCAAAATCAAGTACAGAGTAGAGAATATAGTGTTTTTTGTTTTTTTTTTTTACCTAAAGAAACAAATTTATTCTCTAATAGTTCTGGAGGTTAGAAGTCTGGATTCTCTGAAGACTCTGGAGAAGATTCATTCCTTGCCTTTTCCTAGATTCTGGGGTCAGCAGCCTTTTTTTTTTTTTTTTAATTTTATTTTTTATACACATATATTTTTATCTGTTCTTTTTTTTTTTTAAGATTTTATTTATTTGAGAAAGCAAGAGTGGGGTGAGGGACAAAGGAAGAAGTAGACTCCCCACTGAGAAAGCCCGATGTGGGATTTGATTTTGGGACTCCAGCATGGTGACCTGAGCCAAAGGTAGATGCTTAACCCACTAAGCCACCCAGGTGCCCCGAGAATGTAGTATTCTACCACTTGTTCTCAAAGAAGGGAGACCTAAGCATAAAGAACCACAGGGAAAATTCAAAGTGTAGGAAACAGGGCTGACAGGGACAAGGGGGGGAGCGAGGCTTGGGTTATTTCAACTTTTTGTACCACGTGAATGAATTACGTCTCAAACAAACAGGAATAAAACTGACGCAAGTTAGACTCCAGCCCTTGTGCTCACCTCAGTGCCCGCTTCAGCCCGTCTGTCACGGCCTCCTTCCTGGCCTTCTCCAAAGACAAGGCTTTTGACTTGAGGCCCTCACTGACACCGTAGCCCACATCTTCATGATATGAACCATCCTATAGGTAGAAAAGGAATTCAGAGTCCAACGTGAAGAGCTGCAGTCGTGTCCTGGTTCCACAGCCCTCCTCACCCTCAAGGGCATTTGCACCAGGGCACATAGAACCTGGGCGCCTTGCTAAAGGGCACACAGGCACAGAGAGCTGGAAGAGAATTAATTTCCAGTGCTACATCCTTGACCTGATCTGCCCGAAAATGTACAAGACAATTCTCCTTACCCACTTACAAGTGCACATAAAAAAGGCACATAGCTAACCCACCCTAAATCTTCCTAAGGTGCAATTGCCCCAAGGTATAAACACCTCTGGGACATGAAACAAAAGAAAAATGTGAAATACTGTATTTAACAGGCTCTTAACGATTGGCTAGCAAATCAAAAAATCTTTTCATAGGTCAGGTGGTATCCATTTCCTGGCTTTCATCAAAAATGAAGGTATACCTGATCAAGTTATTAGCTGACAGAGAACCAAATATAATTTTGGATAGCACTCTGATTTCTGAGATATAACTCAGGAAGCTTATTCAAAGAAATGGTGATACTGTAAAAAAATTCTCTCCATTCCCAGTTTATTTATGTGAGTAAGGTTTTTCAGTATTTTTTTTTCTTATTTGTCAGAGGGAAAGAGAGACATGGCACAAGCATAGGGAGCAGCAGGCAGAGGGAGAAGCAGGCTCCCCGCTGAGCAGGGAGCCTGATGCAGGACTCAATCCCAGGACCCTGGGATCATGACCTGGGCCCAAGGCAGACACTTAACTGACTGAGCCACCCAGGTGTCCCTAGTACTATATATAAAAATAAGAAGTGAGAATAGAATTAATGTTGAATGTTCTACTTAGGAAAAAGTAATATTAAACTATGGAAATATAAACCATCCAGAAAGAAAAAAAGCTTCATCCATCTCATTAAGAAATGCATTTTCCATAAAAATTTATTAAGTATATAAATTTTGATGTAGTTATTTTGTCCCCCTCATAGACCCAACTGACTGATCAATTGTGTGTTAGTAATACCTATAACAGTAATTCAATCCAGAAGAAATTTTTTAAAATTTAGAGCCTTAAGGTCACTGAAAATTTACCCCCCAAAATTACATTTATTTGCCCATACATACACACACACACACACACACACACAGAGGAATATGCTAAGGTTATTAATAAAAGGTTCCAAACACATGTAATATATATACATAATATATATTCCTAACATATATTTTGTTTATACATGTATATGGACAAAAGCCAATGAGGAGATAGAATGGAAATATGAGTTTGAGAAGAAAAAAATGTAAAATTTCTCATGACTAAAGAATAGCTTGCTCATGTATTTTTTTTAAGTGGATCATGGTATTTAATCGTTTATGATATTTAAAATACATTGGTACATCTTAAAAAGATGTAACAAGAAAAGAAATGTGAAATAACAGAGACTGAGAATACATTTATCCTGATGAGTGGTGAAAAATGTGCAGAAGTGCTGAATCACTATATCGTACTCCTGACACCTATATACCATTGGATGTTAATTACACTTGAATAAAAAAAGGAAGAGAAAGATGTAACAGATTTTAGAGTGTCAAATTTTACAATACGCTAAAAAACATACCGTTGTAACTACAGGTTTCCCCTGCTATCTGAAAGTAGAACGAACGTTCTCATGAAACCTTCCGTAAGCCAAAATGGTATAAAGCAAAGAATTGCCATTAATTTATATGGAAAAATCTCTCAGCATTCCCAGATCCAAAAAATAACCTGTTACGCTTTTCTGATAACATAAGGACACATCTTGCTAATGGACGCACACAATAAACGGAGCTAGAGCACAGATGCTCACGGACAGAGCTCAAAGCCTGGCAGCTCGATGCCGAGACAGTGAGTGTAGTTCCCAGGGATGGACTCGGCGGCGGGGCCCCTCTTGCCACCAGGGTGTGCCTTTTCTCATAGAAGTGAAAATCCTCTCTAGATTGCTTTCAGTTAAGGGAAAACAGGTCTTTTCATAAAAGCAAAGGGGTGCAGTGCAAACTTTTGAAATGCAAAGGACTTACGGTGCATTTGTACTTACAGCGAAACCTTTTAGGTGTCAACTTAAAATGTACAGGAAACACGCGTTTTTCAGCATTCATTTAGGGGGCATGTGAGTAAGAATGTCTAAGGAACACTGGCTGAGCCCCAGCTCTCTAGGCCCAGTCCAGAGAATTCTCTACCTGCTCATTCTCTCTCACCACCCACACAGTCCTTGGAGGCAGCGGGTCTGCTCCATCACCCTCACCTTCAACTGGACTCTCACAAACGCACAGACTCCCACGTAGAACTTGCCATTGTTAAGGTCAACAAAATCTAGGAGTGGGAAAGAGAACCAGTTGAAGAGGATACTGACTCCTGTGCCTCACCCATATTCCTCCTACCAGCAACAAAATACACCTACATCCTCACCCACAAAATACTCTCCTCAAAAATTAGCACCAAAGTAAAGGAAATGAAGTCCCCATTGCCAGGAAACATACTCACCCACATTCTGCTGTGTGATGGAGTGTGCCCAGCCGTTGTAACCAAACATCTCATTGGCCAGATTAATTACCCTGTGACCCTCAATGTAACATACCTGGGAAGAGAAATTAAAGGCAGAGGGGGTGCTGGTTAAGATTCCCTCTACCATACTAAATGAGAATCAAAATTTACTTAATTTACTCCTTACCAGATTTTTTGGCAAAACTGCCCTTTAACATTCCAGGGAAATTCTCAGTGAATTGATTTCAAAGATCTTCCAGAAGGAACCAGCTAGAACTAGTGTTTTGTCTTGGGGGAGGGACTAGACTCAGAGTAGAAAGATACCCACTCACCTAGCAGTTTCCAAAACTCACAGTTTCCAAAAAAGTACAAGTCTCAGGCTGACATATATTATAGGAGACCAAAAATATACACATAAAATTAGAAGCAAAGGGCAAAAGAAACATTTTTAAAAGATGGTGTAAATATCTCAAGATGGAAGACAATACTTGGGTGGCTTCAGATGACGATGCCAGCTGGAACCCATCCCCTCCCAAAGACACTAGGAAACATCTAGCAACAGTGAGCAGGAGACCTTCTGAATCCATGAGGACCCAGAGAGGGAGAAAGATCCTCTGAGTAGCCAGCTAGAGGGGCACCCACTTCTCAAGCGTGTCATCTCTCCTACCCTCTGGCCTCCTCCAGCCATGCGGCTACTGATGTATTCCGGGCCCAGCCTCTGCCTCAGAGCGTTCTGGATGGCCTGGTACTCGCCTGCTGTGTACTGATACTGCAATCCAGAAAAGGAAAAATTAAACTGACATTCCCCCATTCCTATGCCAGCAAGTCTCCAGACCCTTTCACACTCTTAAAAAGTATTGAGGGCCCTAAGAGCTCTTGTTTACATGGGTTTTATCTACCAATACTAGGAATTAAAACTGAGAAACTTCTAAGGCACACTTTCCATAGCCAGAGCAGTATCCGCCCAGGCTGTGTGTGCTCTGGAAGAGTCTCACTGTTCACTCGTAAGAGAATGAAAAGGAAAAGGCAAGAAGATTTTTAGTATTATTATGGAATCTTCTTGACCTCGTGGACTTGGGAGAGGTCTGGTGGACCCCAGGGGTCGCTGGGCACCATTCTGAGAGGCAGTGCCCTAGGTGTCACCACCCTCCTGACAAAACTTTCTCAAGTCAGAATTGGTAAACTGAAAAGTGCCACCTCAGAGTCTGTATATGACATTTAGGCCCACGAGGGAGCAGGAGACATACCTCTTCTCTAGTTCAACACTTTTCCATCCTACACATACATAAATATACTACTACTTATTTGACTACTGTCCCCTTGGTAGTTTCCCCCTTGCCCTATTTAAATTAAATAAATCGGGATGCCTCGGTGGCTCAGTGGGTTAAGCCTCTGCCTTCAGCTCAGGTCATGGTCTCAGGGTCCCGGGACTGAGCCCCGCATCGGACTCTCTGCTCAGTGGGAGCTGGCTTCCCCCTCTCTCTCTGCCTGCCTCTCTGCCTACTTGTGATGTCTCTCTGTCAAATAAATAAATAAAATCTTTTTTAAAAAATAAATAAATAAATGAAATAAATTTTCACAAACAGATCTATGGTAAAGACAAAGATGGATTCGAGGGGACGAAGCAAGAATCTCTTTTATATGCACAGAATATCGCCACAAAGAATAGGACACTGGAATCCTTGAAACTGGGTGAAATGTAGACAGGAGTGACAGGGAAAGAGCAAGACTTTGCATTCACATACAGTCTACGTTTCCTTTTGAATGTTATACCATATGAATATGTAATGTATCAAAAAAATAAACAAAAGGTAAATCTCAATGTAATCCCCAGTACTACATGATGCTACAGTTCCACGACGCCCTGAGAGTTCCTCAGAGTCCCTAATAATGTATACCGAAAGGAAAACCCGCTGACAGTAAATAGCTTCCACATACATGATTGTGCCCTACAAACTACTTTCTCCTACCTGTTCACTTAACCTCATTCTTCCCAGGTATGGAAAACACAGTTACCTGTCCGAAGCATAACACGGAGTTGCCGCCAGCTGCAGAAGGATGGTTGCCTCGGGCTCCAAGAACCGCTTCCTCAGTCCCAGACATGTTGATTCCAGGTGACCTCTATAAAAACAGATTTAAAAAGATCTCAAAGATTGCTGAAGGTAAAAAGCAAGAGCCTCTACACAAAATCAGACTAAAGCATCCAAATGTAGTATCCTACAAGTCGATTTACTTAACACTTAATGTGGGTTTGGTTCTGGTTTTTTTTTTTTAGATTTTATTTATTTATTTGACAGAGAGAGAAACAGTGAGAGAGGGAACACAAGCAGGGGGAATGGGAGAGGAAGAAGCAGGCTTCCCGCTGAGCGGGGACCCCCCCCCCAATGTGGGACTCAAACCCAGGACTCTGGGATCATGACCTGAGCTGGAGGCAGATGCTTAATGACTGAGGCACCCAGGTACCGCAATGCTTTTCTTGTAAGCACTGCCCCAATCAAGGACTAAGTTCCTCAGTGCTTAGCTATCATCCAACACGGCACTAAAAATCTTTTAGGGTCCACTTCTATCTTTCTGTTAAAATTCTGGCTAGGGTTGGGGTGCCTGGCTGGCTGAGTCCGCAGAGCATGCGACTCTTGATCTCAGGGTCATGAGTTTAAGCCCCACATTGGGCAAGGAGCCTACTTAAAAAAACAAACCATAAAATGGTCATTAGGGTGATGGTGTTATTTAAGGTGATTTTTAGAATTATAATGCATTATAATTGCAATGTTTATAATTGAAAAAGTCAAAATTACAAAAACACTCCAAGGGAGAGTAACCAAACAACTCATTACTACCTCATATATGAACAACATGATTCTGGCTTCAGTGGGGTCAAAAAGAGAAGTATAAGCCAGGGGTGCCTAGGTGGCTCAGTCATTAAGCAACTGCCTAACTCAGGTCAGCTCAGGTCGGCTCAGGTCATGATCTCAGTATCCTGGGATCAAGCCCCATAGTGGGCTCCCTGCTCAGTGGGGAAGCTGCTTCTCCCTCTCCCTCTGACTCTCCCTGTGCTTGTGCTCTCTCTCTCTCAAATAAATAAATACATTTTTTAAAAAAAGTAAAAGCCACAATAACTGACCTGCTTTCCAGGAGCTAACAAGCTAGCTGGTAGGAGACTAACAGGAAAGTTAAAGAGCAAGAGAAGGCAGTGTGGATGGCCCTAATATTCAGGAAGAATAAAGCATCAGACCAGTTAGGTCTTTTGCAGCATCAGCATCACCTGGGAACTTATTAGAAATACAAATCCCCAGGTCCTACCCTAGACCTCCTGGATCAGAAGCTAAAGGGGAAGCTGAGGAGTTAGTGCTTGCCCAAGTCCACCAGGTGATTCTGATCCAGGCTCAAGTTGGGGAGCCAGTGCATTGGACTGAAACTATGCAAATGTATCGTCCATTAGTAAATAGAATTACCCTCAGAAGCAGCATTTGCCACTGGCTGACCCACTACCTGACTACCCCTACTCCTGTCTCAGATCAGACAGATTCAGTGCTGGGCCCCAGCCTTTCTGTCCCTTTCCAGTGTTCAAGACGTGGAAGCGAGGACATGGTGGGTCCTCCGGTGTGAAATTCCGGATTTCCTGGCTCTTCTGGTAGAAGCCATGATCAACTGTGCTAACAGCACAGGAGCCAAAAATCTGCAGATGACCTTGGCAAGGGGGATCAGGGGCTGAACAGGCTTCCTGCTGCTGGTGGGGGTGACATGGTGACCACCACAGTGAAGGAAGGCAAACCAGAGCTCGGAAAGAAGGTATATACAGCAGGTAACTGGACAATGGAAGTCCCTACTGGTGAGAAGCTGGTGTGTTTCTCTCTTTGGAAGATAACACGGCAGTCACAGAAAACAGTAAAGGCAAAATGAAAGGTCTGCTCTCACAGGACCAGTTGCAAAGGAGCGCGCACACGTGCGGCCCAGGACTGCAGCCACTGGGGGTAGCACTGCTATTTTTTTGGTGTTCAAGAAAAATGAAAAATTATTTGCTCCCAATATTTGCCTTCCTATTCTTTACTACAGGTCACCTTTCTTGACTCCACCTGACCCTTGCCTCCTTTTGTAAAATGAAATCGCTTGGTGCAAACTGGCTGTGGGTATGTGCAGAATAAACAGTACTTGGCAAAAAAAAAAAAAAGTGTTGTGCCTCAGCACACTAGCATGCTGTAGTCTTCAGGTTATTTGCTGACAATAAAACTACAAATCTAGGAATGCCAGGGGGCAGGACGTTCCCCACCGCACCACAATACGGTGTTTGGGGACTCAAGTTCCAAAGGTCGGTTTCTGGCAAATACCCAGTAGGTGCTTGACCAAGGGAAAAATCATACAATCTCTCTAGATGATGTCCTCTCATCTAGAAAACGGACATAGTAGTAGTACCTGCATTTCCTACGGATTCTGTCGAGATTAACACGATACTGCATGAAAACTGCATTAGAACACTGCACAAAGGAAGTACTGAAAGGTTAGCTATTGCTAAGTGCGTCTTAACTTTCTTACTACAGTATGAAGAAAATGCAAAAAATCATTTAAATGATCACAAAACATTACATTTCAACTAAGAACAATTAACTATTTCTAACCTGGCACTAGGAAAGTAGAAGAGTGACATATACTAGGTTAATTAATAATTAGTGTCTAAAATTGTTACAATAGGGCCACCTGCCTGGCTCAGTCAGAAGAGCATGTGACTCTTTATCTCAGGGTGGTGAGTTCAAGCCCCAGGTTGGGGGTAGAGATTATTTAAATAAATAAACTTTTTTAAAAAATTGTTAAAACGGAATCACTGTGTTATACACCTGAAACTAATACTACACTGTATGTTAACTAGCTAGAATTTAAATAAAAACTTGAAAAAAAAGAAACACTTCACACATACTGGGATGGCTACAGTAAAAAAGAATAACCAACATTAGCAAGGATGTGGAGAAACTGGAACATACACAGACACACACAGACACACACACAATCTTAAAACAGGTTGGGTGCCCAGCTGGCTCAGCCGGTAGAACACTCAACTCTTGATCTCAGGTTGTGAGTTTGAATCCCATGCTGGGCACAGGGATTACTTAAAAAAAAAAAAAAAAAAAAAAAAAAAAAAAAAACCTTAAAATTGTTACAATAGGAAATAGTGGAATAAGGATCATATTTAGAACACAATTATAGGGGTGCCTGGGTGACTCAGTCATTAAGCATCTGCCTTTAATAAAAAGAATAAAAAATTGAAGACCTATTATATAAAGCAGAGGTCAGCAAACCTTTTCTTTAAAGTGCCAGATAGTAAGTATTTTAGGTTTTGCAGACTATATGGTCTCTGTCACACCTATGTAACTCTGGCATTTTAGTGTGGAAGCAGACACAGATGATATGTAAACAAATGGGTGTGGCTGTGTCCCAGTAAAACTTTATCACAAAAAGAGGTGGCAGATTTGGTCCAATCCCTGCTAGAAAGCACACTTTGAACGTTAGAGTCAGATGTGGTTCAATACCCCCTCCATCCAATACGGTAAGTAGGACAATTACTTAAACTTTCTGTGTTTCAATTTCCTCATCTGTAAAGGGGAATATTAGTAAAATCAACTTTATAAATGTATCATATTAAAATAATGTGAGAAGGGACGCTGGATGGCTCAGTCAGTTAAGTGTCAGTTAAGTGTTGGCCTTTGGCTCAGGTTGCGATCCTGGAGTCCCAGGATCAACCACTGCTGGGCTTCCTGCCCAGCGGGAAGTCTGCTTCCCTCTCTTCCTCTGCTCCTCCCCCAGCTCGGGCTCACTCTCACTCACTCTCTCAAATAAATAAATCTTTAAAAAATAAAATGATGTGATAAAAACAGTACTCAGCAAAAATCATCACTAGATACTAGAAAGTTGTAGGAAGATTTACAAAGTCTCAAATGAGCACCTGTCCACTTATTTGTTAAAAAAAAACAAAGGGAAATACACTGGGAATATACCCAAAGCCACTGAGCTGCACACTTAAAAATGGTTAAAAATATGGGGCGCCTGGGTGGCTCAGTCGTTAAGAATCTGCCTTCAGCTCCGGTGGTGATTGGGATCAAGCCCTGTATCTGGCTCCCTGCTTGGTGGGAAGCCTGCTTCTACCTCTCCCACTCCCCCTGCTTGTGTTTCTGCTCTCGCTGTCTTTCTGTCAAATAAATAAATAAAATCTTTTTTAAAAAAAAAGGTTAAAAATTTGTTATGTATATTTTGCCACAATAAAAAAAAAAGGAGGTAAAATAACACAATGAAGGTTTATATTCCTTCAGGTAGGATCTAACCCAGTCTGGTGGCCCTGCCCAACCGGTGGCTGTGTCATCTAAGCACATGTGACCTCCAAGGTCATCACTGCAAGGGGAGAAAGAGTTGTTAAAGTCACACCGGTTCATAACTGCCTTAGGCCAGAAGCGATAGGCATCACTTCTGGTCACAGTTCACTGGACAGAACTTGTCACAAGGCTCCCACTTAATGGCAGTGGAGGCTAGGAAGTATAAGAAAGCATTTGGTGAGTACTGTCTCTTTCATCTGCTTTCCCCACTCCAATGTGAGCCCTTAGAAGGCAGGAGATTCTTGATTCTTCTTGGCCCCTCAGTGAGTAGCATGGTAACCCGTTCCCCCTAAGGGGTCAGGGAGGGAAGCATTCATTGGGTGAGTGATTAAGTGAATGAATGGACGGATGAATGGATGAAGTACATAGTATAGGATACAGAGACAAAGTATATTTTTTAATTCCTTAGAAACTGATTTTATAGGGCAAGAGTTATATTTCTCACACTTAAAAAGCAACTTGCTACTTTTCTAAACAATATCTTAGAAGAGTCAACTTTTTAATCACAGAAAAGGACAATTTCATCTCTGCCCATAAAGTAAAACATGGAATCATTCTTCTTTTTTCCCCTGCCAGTTACTATCTGAGAAAAAGCTGACTGCCTTCCTTTCTAAAACTGTCTACAATCATTTTCCCATTATAAAATTACATCTTTATTGTAGAAAGCTTTACACATACATCAAAAAATATGGAAGTAAAATTTGACTGGATCACCACCACCAACAGAAAACTCTTTGTGTATGTGATCGAGTTCATGTATGTTTT